TCGGAGAGAACCGATTCCCCCCCAGGGGGTACCGATTCCCCCTTGTATAACGATCGAAATATTTGAATTTTACACTTAGGGAACCGATTCCCCATAGGGGGTACCGATTCTCCCCATGCTCCAAGCTGTTTTATTAATTGTTTTCACACTAAAACGGCTATATGATCTTCACTAATCATCCCCAACGTTCAGAAGTGATTCAAGGTGTATTTAAACAAGTTCTGAAGCCCTTGATCAATAAGAAATTATAGAGAAACAAGAGCGAAAGCATCAAACACCAAGTTTGTGCAAATCAAGCCAATTTTTCTTTCAATATTCATTTTGCTTTCAAGAACACCATTTGTGCTCATTTGTAATTATCTTTGAGTGTTCTTTTCTTATTCTAGAATTGTGCAAACATCTTATCTTGTGAGGTTTTCCTTGTAAGTTTGTAAATTTGTAATCTTCTTTTGGGAAAGAGTGTTCTCAAGAATTAGGGTATATTCTTGAGGGTGTTGTAAGGTTATCTCTTTGGCCTCAAAAGAAAGAACAAATTAGTGAATTTGTTGGAAAATCCTTAGTGTGTATAGCTAAGGTAGTGGACGTAGACTTTGATTGAGAAAGTCGAACCACTTTAAATTGCTGTGCAATTACTTTCAATTTTCTGAAAAAGCTTCCACCAAATTTTTAATTACCAATTCACCCCCCTCTTGGCCAATTCCGTCAATCGATTAACTCAACATATCTTCTCATTCGACAAGAGCAAAAGTAACTGGAAGAATGTTGCGATTGCCATCTTGGACAACTGCCAATAATAAAACTTGCTTGTATTTTCCATACAAGAAAGTCCCGTCGATCTGGACCACAGGCTTGCGGTATTTGGCAGCATTAATGCACTGTGGGTAACTCTAAAAAACCCGGTAGAATTGGCATCGATCGCGAAGAACTCGATCATTATAGTATGCATAAGAGGTTTCAAAGTCCACAATTATCCCATGATTCAACGTCCGCACCAGCCTAAACCAACCTGGAAGTTTATTGTAAGATGCATCCCATTCGCCATGAAGTTTGACAATGGCATTTTGTTTTGCCAACCAAGCTTTTTTATAGGAGACAGTGTACCCATACTGCGATTGTATAGATGAAATCAACACTGCAACAACTATATGAGAGCTTGCTTTTACCATGGGCATGATGGCTTGACATATCACTTCAGAGTCCAAGTTGGGATGATCTTGGTTGACCCCTCCAGTACAACATGCGTGAGGACCGTTGTATACTATTAGTTCCCATATGTTGTTTTTCCTCTTCATTTTCTATACGCGAACCATCCAATTGCATCCGTTTTTGCGTCGGGCACAATAGCATACATATTTTTCGGTCGTCGATCGGTTGACTCTGGACTGAACAGAATTACGGATATTGTAATTTTTGATAGCCATCATCGCTTCTTCTTTGCTTGAAAACTCCATGCCTAAAGATAACTCACCATTATTTATTGATGAGTAATATCCATAGTCACCGAGATGAGGCATATCTACAAATTCTGGCCCGTACATTACACCATAATCAGCTTCATACATGTGTGCAGGAGGGTCAATTTATGCCACATTTCATGGAACTTCATCATCATCGAAGTTGAATTGCGGTGATTTGGGTGAATGAATAGTCCAGTCTCAGCACCATCCGCACCAGGCTCACGAAGCGGTTCTTCTGGTGGAGATGATGGTTCCTCCATGCTCTCCACATTTAGGTCGAAGAACCTGCTACTACTTGCACGCCTTCCCCTTGAACTGGAAGGCATATCGACATTGAGATCGAAAAAGCTCGCAGTCGAATGCCTCCCCCTGGAGCTTGAAGCCATCGTGTCAAATGGAAACTGCACTGATGGTTGCATCGATGGCATCTCCATATGGTCAAAGAAATTTGCAGATGAATGCCTTCCCCTTGAACTGGACACGGTGTTGTCATGCGAATTGTTCGTGGACGCACCTCGGTACATATCGTAACGAGTTGCGGATGAATGTCTCCCCATTATGGCATTAAAATCATTACACATTACTGTAGTCCGACTGTCAACTTGATCAACTTGTTCAGCCAGCCCATAGTGTGAGCTTAAAGATTGACCCCGAACAGCACGCACTTGAACAAAATGTGCATACATCTCAATAGCGGCGTCTGAATAATTACTTTGAGCTTCAACCATCATTTGAACATCATCATTGTTCGAAAGTTCAAACGATGTATAAGTTAATGGCAACAATGATGTTGGAAATCTGTACTGCAATGACGACATTTTTCTGTTACTTCCAACATGAATCTTCCTTGAAATCTTCGTTATCAGCTCCTCAAGAGTTATGTTTCTTTTTAATGATATTTTAACATGCTCATTTGATACGAAAATAACTCCGGTTTCATCTTCTCGAATTTCACCATTATAATAAACAATAGCTGAAAGTTGCGCCATTCTTTGAGTTTAAAAGTGCGGCAATATTATATCTGCAAAAAAATAACTTAAACAAACTTGATTAAGTAAATTATATATGAACGAAAATACAACACAATTTTTTTACACATCAACGTAAATAATTTAAATAATATAATTTTATATTATTACCTGCACTGCAAAACTATTTCGACGTATGCTCCCGCTTTTCAATTTTACAAACATAAAAATTAATTAAAAATAATTAGTATAATATTTTTTCAAATAATGATAATAAATAATAAGTATAATTTAAAAATTATAACAAAATTACCTTATAATGAAAAATCGCAAGAACTTATAAATCAAATATAAGAAGATTGCCAGAATTATTACTCGTTGACGGAATTGTTGTATTAATTTATAAGAGAGGAGAGATGCGAGGAGATGTGAGGAGAGATACGAGAACCGATTTATAAACATATATGGCGCGGTACCTGCACCGCGTTATATGTAATTATTATATAGCGCGGATCAGGGACCGCGTTAAATATAATTTTGGTACGGCGTATAGCGCGGCCCCTGATTCGCTCTATACCCCTACGTGGTGTATAGCGCGGAGCAGGGGGCGCGCTATACCCCACGTGTAACCCAGTCAGTGTATAGCGCGGTACAGGGGGCACGCTATACTCCACGTGGCGCCAAATCAGTATATAGCGCGGTTCAGGGGGCGCGCTTTACTGCTACGGGTGTTAGATCGGTAAATATAATTTGACCGGTGTTAGATCGGTATATATACCGATCACCGGTGATTTTTGGGGAAAATCGTCATATATATATATAATATAAACTATATAGTTTATATATAAAGTATATGTATTATATATATAAACTATATAGTTTATTTATATATTATGTATAAAGTATAAACTATATATACCATGTATAAACTATAATACTATATAGTTTATATATAAACTATTGAACTATATAGAAACTACATAGTTTATATATAAATTATATATGAATTATATATAAACTATACAATTTATATTTATATATTATGTATAATTATAAATAATATATATTGTATAAATTATATAATTTATTAATATAAACTATATAGTTTATATATATATTATATGGTTTAGGGTTTATGTTTTAGGGTTAGGGTTAGGGTTTATATTTATATTTATATAAACTACATACTATAATTTATATTTTATACCATATTTTATACTATTTATATAAACTATAGTTTATATTTATATACTATATATGTGAACTATAGTTTACATATGAACTATATATATAAATATGTATATACTAAGGTTGATATTTTTCAATATGAACTATAGTTTACATATAAACTATATAGTTTATATACTAACTATAGTTTACATATAAACTATATAGTTTATATACAAACTATAGTTAATATTTACATATGAACTATAGTTTACATATGAACTATATATATAAACTATAGTTCATATGTAAATATTAACTATAGTTTGTATATAAACTATATAGTTTATATACTAACTATAGTTTACATATAAACTATATAGTTTATATACAAACTATAGTTAATATTTACATATGAACTATAGTTTACATATGAACTATATATATAAACTATATAGTTTACATATGAACTATATATATAAACTATATAGTTTACATATGACCTATATATATATATACTATAGTTGATATTTATATACTATATAGTTTGCATATGACCTATATATATATACTATAGTTTTATTCATATACTATATATTATATATATAAACTATATATTATATATATAAATTATATATACTATATAGTATAATTTACATATGAAATATATATAAAAATCCTAAACCCTAAACCCTAAACTATACATTATATAGTTTATTAGTATATATAAACTATATAACATATATAGACTATATCGTATATATAAACTATACATTTATATAGTTCATTATATATAAACTATATATTATAGTTCATTAGTATATATAAACTATATATTATATAGTTCATTAGTATATATAACCTATATAGTATATGATATATACAAACTATATATTATATAGTTCATTAGTGTATATAAACTATATAGTATAAATAAACTATATATTAATTTATTAATATAAACATATATATTAATTGAAAGAATTGGAAAATATATAAGGATCAAATTGAACAAATTTTAAATATGAAGCTTAAATTAATAAAAAGTAACATTAAATTTGATAGACTATATTTTATATTAATTATAAATTATAAACTAGATTATATTAATATAAGTTAATATTAATATTAATTATATTAATATTAATTATAATATATAATTATTTTAATATTAATTATAATATATAATTATTTTAATATTAATTATAAATAGTTTATTAATATAAATTTTATAGGAATGAAATTGAAAACATGCCCCAAAATTAACATTTTCTCCCGCCTCTTCCCGGCCAAACCCTCCCTCCTTATTTTTTGTCTCTCTTCTTCCCGTTCAACATCTAAAATCTCCCTCTTTTCTCTCGTTTTCCCTCTTTCATTGTTGTTTCCTGTTTTCCCTGCCTAAGGTTTAGTTTTCAGAAAATCTGGAGACGAAAGGTTTGCTAGCATTTCTTCTTCAAGTAATCAACAAACTTCTTCGGTTGGAGTCAACCCTTATCCAACTATGCCACCGCTTTCCTCTCAAATGTAATTCAATTCATCGTTTTCCTTGTATTATCTTTGGTTTCTAATTTCTGCTTTTGAAAATGGGATAAAATGAGCTAACTTTTCAGGGGAAAAAACATTGCTTCAGCTCAGGATTAGAAAGTAGTAGTCTATATTAGAATTAATGTTGCATTTTAGTCATTTATCCATTTTTAATCCTTTTTCTTAGTAACTTTGTAATGAGCAAAAACCGATTATCAAACAGAGACATAATTTTCACGTATAATGGAATACTGTATTATTTTTCTTGTATATGAAATAGTTGTATGTGAATTGATATCAAACTTTAATAATCTACACATTTTTAGTGAAATAATTATAGTTTTTAATTGTTTAATTTTAGTTTTTAGCAGTTTTGGGTTAGTGAAGAGAAAATATTGATTAGACGGACATTAAAAATATATATAGTTTCTGGTGTGCGTATATTTTATTAACATTTATTTCTTTGCTTAGTTGTTTATGTGTTTATATTTTGCAGAGGGTTGCCACTTTTCTGGATTAGAGTAGGTGTTGGGCTCTCAGCACGTTTTACATGGGTGAGCACAAAGCTTCTATTTTTCTTTTTGGTCTTTTTTGAGTGATATTTAGTGTTATTCTATTAATTGGAATTTGTTTATTTTTTGGTATATATCTTGATGAAGTTGATTGAAATGACAGGTAGCTTCAAGCTTAAATGTGAGGGTTCTTTCCTATGAGGTATGGTTATATTGTTTTGCCTGTAAGTTGTATGATTGAATGTTATGTTATAGTTTTGGAAGTAGAATTGGGTACTTCAGCGAAGCAATGAAAATTGGTAATGGATAGAAATCTATTTAGTTTGCATGGTTTGGTTGCTTTCTACAAATTAAAAGTGTTCATTACGCTTCTTATGGCATCTGAAGACAGAAATTGGCATTTGAGTGGGGAAACTTTAGATCAAATCGGCTATTGTACTGACTGTTATTTCACCAAATTATTATAAGTGGAAGTTTATTTCTTTCCATTACTTTTTAAAGTTTCTCTGTCAAGGAGCCTTCTTTTATTTGTTAAAGTTTCTTTTTGGAGGGATACGCAGCAGTACTAATTTGAACAAATTATTTGGTTATGTAATTGATTCTATTCACTATACATTCTTTGAATCCAATAATCAAGGCTATAATAGATTGTGATAGCTCAAAAATAGATGGGAGAATACAGGTTTTGCTTACAGGGCCTTAAATTATACTGCAAAATTGTATTTTGATATTTGTAAAACCCACTTCATCCATCCCAAGTGCTTTAGTTTTCCAATTGCGTTCTTCACACCTAGTATAAACTGGTTTGGATGTTGACAGAGGTTGCCAGCATCTCCTGTGTGTACAATGTTGTTTTACATTTTGTATGTTCGGTATTTCAAAATTGATTCTCTAGCATAAAGCCTTTGGACCAGTTAGCTTATTTTGCTAAATTGCGGTATATTAAGGATTTATAGTAGCAACGGAACTGAAAGATGTGTTGTTCATAGAGATATCAAGCCCTCTAATATTCTTCTTTCTTCCAAGAAAACACCCAAGGTAAGGATCTTGGTCCTTAATTCTTGAGTTGAAAACGGATAGAAGTCATTGTTTTGCAATTTGATTATGTGATATCTGCAATTGTAATGGTTGTAGTTGTGTGATTTTGGATTAGCAACTTGGACATCCACACCTTCAATTCCATTCCTTTGCAAAACCGTTAAAGGAGCACTTGGGTATGCTGTCAACAACATTGTCCTATAGAAAGATAAATGATACTTTTTCGTTTTATTTTGCTTCATGAAATACTCGGTAAAGATTTGTCTTTTTTTCTCTCATATTTTAGGTATGTAGCTACTTGGCACCCGAGTATTTCCAACATGGAAAAGTGTATGATAAAACTGATGTTTATGCTTTTGGGGTTATCTTGTTGGAGCTGATAACCAGACTGAAACCAATCGAGGCAAGACAGCCTCCAGGAGAAAAGAAATTGGACTTATGGGTAGGTTATTGTTTAATTTCTACTTAGCACCAAGTTTGTGAAAGTTGAAAGAATGGTTCACCGTAACAGCTTCCCCGGAGGCAAAAGAGGGGTCCGATCTTTACATTCGAACTTAGAGTGGTGAAAATACTTTACTTGTTATGGATGATGACCATTTGATAATGAAATTTCTTCTGAAAGTGGTCCATAGAACCTAAATGACTAGTTGCTCTATAACCATTACATCTTAAGTTTAAACAAGTACTACCTAAATGACTAGTTGCTCTATAACCATTACATCTTAAGTTTAAACAAGTACTCTTGGTGAGACAGCTCCATCAAGGAACTTGTTCTTGTCCACTTTGGAATTTGTGGAAATTTTGTGCTTCAATGATTCAATGCTTTGGAACTAATCATGATACTCTGCGAGCTCCTTCGTAATTAGCTGACATGATTCGGTAACTGCAACACAACTTAACACAAATTAGATTTATGAATATTTTAACTCAATTTATATAATTTAATAAAATCATGTTCAATAAGATAAGATTTAAATTTAATTTAGTGATTATAAATAAAATTTATAATATAAGAATTATAAATAATATAAAGAATTGGAATTAATATAAAAATCAAATTTATAATATACAAATTATAATTAATATAAAAACTAAATTTCAAAAAAGTAACCATATTAATTTAATTATCATAAGTTTATTATAAATTTAAAATAATATAATTATATTAATTATAACATATTACTTATAAGTCAGGACAATATCTTATCACTTTAACATGTTAGATCATTTACAGGTTGAGTCAATTACAGGTCAGGTTCATAACAAGTCAGGTTGAAAACAGGTCGGGTAATACTAGTTATTTACCAGGTCAATCTCGGGTTCGGGTTCATATCAGTCGGATGCAATTCGGGTTCAGGTATCATATTTTCGGTTCAATTCGGGTTCAGGTCGTTCTCAGGTCGGGTGCAGGTCGGGTTCAGATCCACAATTTCCAGGTCCAACTCGGGTTCTGGTCAACACCAGTTCCGACTCGAGTCGGTTTCAGATCGCCACATCGTATGTCAAAAACAGTTTTAACTCAAGTCGGTTTCAGTCAGTTTTACAGGTCGGGTCAGCTTTTTACACCCTTAGTAAGCATAAATAATCTTAACATTCAGAAAGATCAATATAAAACATATACGATGACTCTACCATGCTCGACCAGTTCCATTGAGTACCATTAATGATGAGCATCACTAATTTAATTTATGAAAAATTAAAATTCTAAATCACTTAACGTATAATTATAAATTAGTTAAAAATATAAAGGCAAACTATTTAAAATAAAATATTTATTTATTTATTTTCCATAAATTTTTTTATTTTCCATAATTTTTGGGATAAATTATACCACTGACCATCTAATTATTACCCCTTTTCATTTTGACCACCATTTTTAAAATTTTGTCAATCAATTCATCTAACTATTTAAATGCATTCAATCAAGCCACTTGTCGTTAACATTTAACGAAAGTGCTGACGTGATAGTTAATAAAATTGGTATAATTACATATTTGATCCTCAATATTTATAAACTCTATCAATTTGGTCATAATTTTAATTTAATTTAATAAATTTAATCTCCAATTAGGTGGTGACACATGCCACTACCAGATTGATAATATTTTATTATTTTATTTTATTTTATTTTGTACCAATCAGGTGGTGACATGTCACCACCTGATTTAATAAGCAAAATGCATGTAATATAATCTACTTCTAAGGGGATCAAACCAAGGGTAAGAACTCACCCAAACATCTTATGAGACTCAAGTTCAGTTCTCTCGAGTCACTTATTTTCCTTTCAATTTGTTTTCTTTATATCAAATGGTCTTCAGTTGGAAACCAAATATATAAAATGTTGTAAATATTACTAAGGGAGGGGCGTAGCCCAGTGCTTCAAGTGTGCCTTGTGATGCTCTTAAACATTGGTTTGATTCTCCATAAGTGTAGATTATATTTTACTTTGTGTGAGTCACCACCTGATTGGATACAAAATAAAATAAAATAACTAATTAAAATTAATAAAATATCCTCTAATCTGGTAGTGACACGTGTTACCACCTAATTGGAGATTAAATTTATTAAATTGAATTAAAATTATGACCAAATTGATAGAATTTATAAATATTAAGGATCAAATATATAATTATACTAATTTTATTAACTGTCACGTCAGCATTTTCGTTAAATTTTAATGACAAGTGTCTTTATTAAATGTATTTAAATAGTTGGATGACGCATTAACCAATCAACCTCGGTGGTAAAGAAATTATTGTTATTCCTTGAGGTCTCGGGTTCAAGCACTAGGAATGCCAGAGGTGTGAGCGTTCAATGTCAAATGGTTGAGAGTTATCTTTGAACAAATACTATCTTGTACTTACACCAGATTAATAAAAACCAGTTGAATGACATGATTGACAAAATTTCAAAAATAATGGCTAAAATCAATGGTATAATTTACCTAAAAAGATTATGAAAAATAATGTAATTAATATTTTATTTTAAATAATTTACCTTTAGATTTTTAACTAATTTATAAATATGTAAATATATTTATCAGACTAAGGTTGGAGCGAGCTGAGAAAACCAAGCTTAGATTTGCCGCTCTATTCGCAAAGGAGAATGAAACGACTGGCCTATCTATGTTCAACAAGATCAAGGCAGAGATAAAGGAGCTATTACAATCCGAATGATATACAACAATACAATGATGATGATGAGCTATCTCGGATGTTCGTCGTTGAGGGACCCGCGGTGTTATTCGTCATACACTACAGCATCGAACGTGAGTTTGACAAACTAAAAACCGAAGCAGTTCGTCTGGTATTTGCACAAGTTGATCTGTTCATGCTGGAAAAACAGCTTCCTTGCGGAGTCTTCCAGATTTTGATCGACTCATCCAAGGAAACCAAAAATGGAAGGACTCGATCACAAAATTCATAGCAGATAACGTCATGACTAATATACAAAGTCGACAGCAAAGCCACGGTTCATAAGACGGGTAGCACAATCGCACTCATCTACTCGAGCGCTTGCGGAGAAAACACCTGACGATGTCGAGAGAAGCGAGTAGCAGCAATAGTAGCACCATCGGTTCGATGATTCTGTCGAACGGAGACAGTCGAAAACTATAATTGTAAAATATTGTTTGAAATGTTATTATACAATTGTAATACCCGTAATAATATTTATTATTATCATAATCGTAATAAATACAATATAAAAAATGTGACTGAATCGCATGATATATAGAATCATAGAAGAAGATAAAAATAGCTTGGTTCTATCAATAGATGTTGGTTCGAGTGATATGTAATTTGATATCGCTTAAGCAAGGTCTCGAGTTTGAGACTTCGTGTATGCAGAAAATCCTTACTGGAAAACTCACCCATCAAAATCATCGGAAGACTCACCCATCAAAATCAAATGTACGACGTGCGGGTCTTTTGATTTTATGTAATTAATGAAGAAGAAATACACAATGGAATGGAAAATTACAATTTTACACCACCATCGAAAACATCGAAAGACATTACGTAGCATTAAGTTGTTGAGCAAGATTCATGGGTGATTAATACACGAGGAATTCTTCACGTTTTGCCTTTCATTGGCTCATAGGTTCTCAGCTTTGTTTCAAATGTTGTTTCGTCATACCATGC